GTTCCACTTAATATCAGCAGAGAACATTAACCCTTGAAAGCGCTGTGAATTTCTCTCCTGAAGGCTAGCATCAGCCATAATGATGGAAGGCAGAAAGTGTTTCTTCTTTCTTTTTATGTACCGTATCCTTTCAGCACGCAGGCGATCATGGCTCTCCACTTAACACTATCCCTTGTAGCTCTCAATAGGCTTCCCCCCTCTGCCACCCCACCAAGCTCACCAGGTATGTCATGCATTGCTTTCCCTTGTCTTTCTTTCCCTCTAATCAACCTGTGACTATCAGATTCTCCAGGCCCTCCTTTCTCATTACGTGTCCCAGAAATTTCATCTGCCCCTTTCTGATGTTAAGTATAAGCTTCCTCAATGTTTGCATACTCTCCAAAACCTCTTCGTTGCTCATATGCTCGGTACATGATATCCTCAGGAGCCTTCTGTAGACTCGAGACTGTTCTTCATCTTTGAGGAGAACGTCCAACATTCACTGCCGTAAAGTAAAACAGGCGTGACGTAACAGCTCAGTACAAAAATAGAAAATAAATTTTAAAAATGTAGAAAAAATAAATATATAAATAAGTATAATCAGACGATTAAAAGAAAGTAGAGAGAAATAACCTGATCGTCTTCTGTCTAAATTTCTGGGAGGAGGAGATATCATTATTAACATTCGGACTATTATCCTCATCTTTATTGATGTTATTATCACCTGATCGTCTTCTGTCTGAATTTCTGGGAGGAGGAGTTATCATTATTTACATTCGGACTATTTTCCTTATTTTTCTTGATGTTATTATCACCTGATAACCTTGTGTCTGAATTTCTGGGATGAGGCGTTATCATTATTTACATTCAGCCTATGATCCTCATCTTGGTTGATGTTATTATCACCTGATCGTCTTCTGTCTGAATTTCGGGGAGGAGTTATCATTATTTACATTCGGACTATTTTCCCCATCTTGGTTGATGTTATTATCAAGTGATCGTCTTCAGTCTGAATTTCTGGTATGAGAAGTTATCATTACTTACATTCGGACTACTTTCCTTATTTTTCTTGATGTTATTATGACCTGATCACCTTGTGTCTGAATTTCTGGGATGAGGCGTTATCATTATTTACATTCAAACTATCATGTTCATCTTAATTGATGTTATTATCACCTGATCGTCTTCTGACCGAATTTCTGGGAGAAGGAGTTATCATTATTTACATTCGGACTATTATCCTCATCTTTGTTGATGTTATTATCACCTGATCGTCTTCAGTCGGAATTTCTGGGAGTAGGCGATATCATTATTTACATTCGGACTATTTTCCTTATTTTTCTTGATGTTATTATCAACTGATCACCTTGTGTCTGAATTTCTGGGATGAGGCGTTATCATTATTTACATTCAGATAATCATCCTCATCTTGGTTGATGTTATTATTACCTGATCGTCTTCTGTCTGAATTTCTGGGATGAGATGTTATCATTATTTACATTCGGACTATTATCCTCATCTTGGTTGATGTTATTATCAACTGATCATCTTCTGTCTGAATTTCTGGGATGAGATGTTATCATTATTTACATTCGGACTATTATCCTCATCTCATCTTGGTTGATGTTATTATCAACTGATCAATTTCTTTCTGAATTTCTTGGATGTCGAGTTATCATTATTTACATTCGGACAATTATCCTCATCTTGGTTGATGTTATTATCACCTGATCGTCTTCTGTCTGAATTTCTGGGATGAGAAGTTATCATTATTTACATTCGGTCTATTATCCTCATCTTGGTTGATGTTATTATCAACTGATCACCTTCTTCCTGAATTTCTGGGATGAGGAGTTATCATTATTTACATTCGGACTATTATCCTCATCTTGGTTGATGTTATTATCAACTGATCATCTTCTGTCTGAATTTCTGGGATGAGATGTTATCATTATTTACATTCGGACTATTATCCTCATCTTGGTTGATGTTATTATCACCTGATTGATCGTCTTCCGTCTGAATTTCTGTGATGACGAGTTATCATTATTTACATTCAGACTATTATCCTCTATCACCTGATCGTCTTCTGTCCGAATTTTTGGGAGAAGGAGTTATCATTATTTACATTCGGACTATTATCCTCATCTTTGTTGATGTTATTATCACCTGATCGTCTTCAGTCGGAATTTCTGGGAGGAGGCGATATCATTATTTACATTCGGACTATTTTCCTTATTTTTCTTGATGTTATTATCAACTGATCACCTTGTGTCTGAATTTCTGGGATGAGGCGTTATCATTATTTACATTCAGATAATCATCCTCATCTTGGTTGATGTTATTATCAACTGATCAATTTCTTTCTGAATTTCTTGGATGTCGAGTTATCATTATTTACATTCGGACAATTATCCTCATCTTGGTTGATGTTATTATCAACTGATCATCTTCCGTCTGAATTTCTGGGATGAGAATTTATCATTATTTACATTCGACTATTATCCTCATCTTGGTTGATGTTATTACCACCTGATCATCTTCCGTCTGAATTTCTGGGATGAGAAGTTATCATTATTTACATTCGGACTATTATCCTCATCTTGGTTGATGTTATTATCAACTGATCAATTTCTTTCTGAATTTCTTGGATGTCGAGTTATCATTATTTACATTCGGTCTATTATCCAGATCTTGGTTGATGTTATTATCACCTGACTGTCTTCTGTCTGAATTTCTGGGATGACAATTTATCATTATTTACATTCGGACTATTATCCTCTTCTTGGTTGATGTTATTATCAACTGATCACCTTCTTCCTGAATTTCTGGGATGAGGAGTTATCATTATTTACATTCGGACTATTATCCTCATCTTGGTTGATGTTATTATCAACTGATCATCTTCTGTCTGAATTTCTGGGATGAGATGTTATCATTATTTACATTCGGACTATTATCCTCATCTTGGTTGATGTTATTATCACCTGATTGATCGTCTTCCGTCTGAATTTCTGTGATGACGAGTTATCATTATTTACATTCAGACTATTATCCTCTATCACCTGATCGTCTTCTGTCCGAATTTTTGGGAGAAGGAGTTATCATTATTTACATTCGGACTATTATCCTCATCTTTGTTGATGTTATTATCACCTGATCGTCTTCAGTCGGAATTTCTGGGAGGAGGCGATATCATTATTTACATTCGGACTATTTTCCTTATTTTTCTTGATGTTATTATCAACTGATCACCTTGTGTCTGAATTTCTGGGATGAGGCGTTATCATTATTTACATTCAGATAATCATCCTCATCTTGGTTGATGTTATTATCAACTGATCAATTTCTTTCTGAATTTCTTGGATGTCGAGTTATCATTATTTACATTCGGACAATTATCCTCATCTTGGTTGATGTTATTATCAACTGATCATCTTCCGTCTGAATTTCTGGGATGAGAATTTATCATTATTTACATTCGGACTATTATCCTCATCTTGGTTGATGTTATTACCACCTGATCATCTTCCGTCTGAATTTCTGGGATGAGAAGTTATCATTATTTACATTCGGACTATTATCCTCATCTTGGTTGATGTTATTATCAACTGATCAATTTCTTTCTGAATTTCTTGGATGTCGAGTTATCATTATTTACATTCGGTCTATTATCCAGATCTTGGTTGATGTTATTATCACCTGACTGTCTTCTGTCTGAATTTCTGGGATGACAATTTATCATTATTTACATTCGGACTATTATCCTCTTCTTGGTTGATGTTATTATCACCTGATCGTCTTCTGTCTGAATATGTGGGATGAGAAGTTATCATTATTTACATTCGGACTATTATCCTCATCTTGGTTGATGTTATTATCAATTGATCGTCTTCTTTCTGAATTTCTGTGATGACGAGTTATCATTATTTACATTCAGACTATCATCCTCATCTTGGTTGATGTTATTATCACCTGATCGTCTTCTGTCTGAATTTTGGGGAGGAGTTATCATTATTTACATTCGGACTATTATCCTCATCTTGGTTGATGTTATTATCAACTGATCACCTTCTTCCTGAATTTCTGGGATGAGGAGTTATCATTATTTACATTCGGACTATTATCCTGATCTTGGTTGATGTTATTATAACCTGATCGTCTTCTGTCTGAATTTCTGGGATGAGAAGTTATCATTATTTACATTCGGACTATTATCCTCATCTTGGTTGATGTTATTATCACCTGATCGTCTTCTGTCTGAATTTCTGGGATGAGGAGTTATCATTATTTACATTCGGACTATAGCTCTTATCTCTTTTACTGTCATCACAACGTTTCGGCCGTTATATTCCCGCCCTTCTTCAGGTGCATATCGATCCAGGCAATTTACAAAGAATTCTTAACTGAATTTATTATTTTATTTACGGGGCTTGTCTGTTTTCCTTCCACTGTCGATGTCTAGGGAGATCTCGTCTTGTACTTATTTTTATACTGCTCAATTATTACACACCCTGTTAGTGTACGATAACCCTTGAGTTCATTCCCTGATCCTGGCTGTGTATACTTGGTCTTAGTGCAAACAGGGCGAAGAATAACTGTGCAGTGCTAAAATAAGAACTGAACGAAAAACCTAGATATTGATAGTGGAAGCAGAACATAGATAAAATAAGATAAAGGGTTCAGTTCGGAATTAGCTGGATCGATATATCCCTGATGAAACGTTGTGATATAAACAAAAAAGATGTGGACAATAGTTCAAATGTAGATAGATAGATAGATACGAATAGATTGAGATAAATTTTATTTTACTGATATTCCCCCAGTACAAGACCCAGGAACCACTCAAGGTAGTGGGTTACTGTTTGGAGTTATATTAGCGCAAGGAAGCACCAGCGTTAAGAGTATAAAGCTGAATTGAGGTAAGTCAACCCGAAACAGAAAATAGAAAACTTCTACTCTTGTTCAAAAAACCCGAGATGAATTTGAACCGGACGATAGGCGGACCAATATACTCCTACTGAATACGAACAGACTGAGATAGATAGATAGATAGATAGATAGATAGATAGATAGATAGATAGATAGATAGATAGGAACAAACTGAGGAAGATAGATAGATAGATAGGGACAAACTGAGATAGATAGATAGATAGATAGATAGATAGATAGATAGATAGATGCGAACAACGAAATAGATAGATAGATACAAACAGAGATAGATACGAACAGACTGAGATAGATAGATAGATAGATAGATAGGAACAAACTGAGGAAGATAGATAGATAGATAGATAGATAGATAGATAGATAGATAGATAGATAGATACGAACAGATTGAAATAGATAATTACAAGGGACAAAAGATTTACAAAAGAAAAAAAAATGTTGAGGCAATTATAAGAAGAATAATTACTGAAGTAGCTAAGGATCCCACTTTTACTTAATAGGGAAAGTTACGCTCAATGCATATTGCCTTAATAAAGGTGATAATAACAATGAGTGAATTGAAAGACAGTCGTAACACAAGTAGTAGCCGTCATAATTGTATAACGACCATATTTACCACGACGACGATTGCTGCTGCTGCTGCTGCTGTTATCAGTACTACCACAACGACTACTATTATCAGTAACCAGAAATTAATTAATCAGCGTATGACAATAGGAAGAAAAATGAATGAATAGGATGTGAACTTGGTAAAAATACCGATCAGTTGTTTCGTAAATTAAACTGGAGTTACAGTCGTCAGTTTGATTAGTTCGGGAGCATACTATTGTTTGACGGATTAAGTGCACTGACACTGTAGAGATGTGTTTGCCTTTTTATATTCATATTTGTCTCGTTTTTATAAAGACAACAGCAACTAAAGGAAATTACCAGCTAATTTATTTACAGGATTGGAAAAGTATAGGAAAAATTACTGAGAGGCTTTCTTCATTAAAGGTTATTTCCCCACACCCCTAACTTTAGAAGTTTTCAAAGTAACAACAACAACAACAACAATATATATAATAAATAGAAAGTAATAATAAACAAATTCGATATCTTAAGCAGATATAAAACATTGTTCTTAAAAGCACAGCTAACCCACTTTGAAGAGCTTTATAAATTGTGTACGTATTAGTTTTACATATACAAAATGTTCAGGAGAAAATGTCATGATGCATTTTCTGATCTTACGTCACTGGTTGGGACCCGGAAGGAAATGAATACATAACAGAAATCAAAAGAAATAATAATAATAATAATAATAATAATAATAATAATAATAATAATAAAAGTTTCGTCAACTGTAAGGATAAGTTTGCGTAATATTTTCTTGCTGCATTTTAGAATGGCGTGTATCTCTACCTGGGACTGATTATGACTAACAGAGAGAAAGCTGGTTATATTACAAAAAAAAAATATGGATAAACTAAAAATAATACTAATAAAAGCAACTGAACTATCGATTCCTTGAGTGCTTGAGTCGTAGGTGATGACAACATGAGAACGGGGATCTGACAGTGAATTCACTTAGTTGGAAGGAAGGACCCGTCTCGGCACGATCGAATAGTCCGCAAGTGCTGTATCAACAAGTTACAAAAATAATTTAAAAGTAAATAAAACAAAGTAAAGTTACAAAAAGAAAGAAAAAAAAATAAAAGGAAGAGAACATTAAAAAAAAAAACAGTGGAAAACTACTTCTGGGACAACCGTATAAACACATAAATACACACTGCTAACGATTGTCTGCAAGCACGTATACGTCACCAGATTATATTAACAAATATTAAAACCCTTCACACATGCACTTTGTTCTGTCCATACCTGGACCTAAGTATTAATAAGAAAAAAAAGGCATACATGTGGGTACTCACTGAATGTAATGCTATGAAAGAAAAGAAAACACTGGGGAATGACATAAAAGAAATAAGGAAATTGGGAGTTAGGCCCTTGCCACTTTGTCACTTAACGAGGCGAGAAAGAACGAAAGTAACAAAGGTTGGAAAGAAGAAAAAAATAAACGGAGAAGGAGTAAAAAAACAGAGGAAGAGGCAACTGTAGCGGTTGTGGTTGGGGTGTTGCTGGAGACAAATCAGAGAAGTGAACGTACGTATAGCGACGATAGGTAACACTTTCCACCTTGGACGCTATTTGGCTTGGTGGTGATAACCAGTGGTCGAAGGGAATTTCAAAATACATTTGTATCACGTTGGTGAGTAAAGAATGCAGTCTCTGTACATATTTTATACATTTTTTTTTACACTTTGAGTCACAGTAGGAAAGCTTTTCTGGTGTAAGTTATAGAAACATTGAACATAAAAAAAAAAAAAAAAACTAAACTCGTTATCTCTATAAATGTGTAAAACTCAAATGAGTAAAAGTATCGTTGGAGATAAAATTATTTAGGGGAAAACAAATATCGTTTGAACACCGTTGTCAGAGAGAAATACGTAATTAAAAAGCATTCATAATTTTGATCGGCTATAATACGACGTTTTTAAAACTCTCGCCGCATTCATTTGATCCGAGGATTTAGATAATTCGCTGATAAGCAAACAATAAAACATATCTTGAAATATTTATTTATCTTTACTGACACGAAATTAAAAACTGGTAATCGAATTAAAAAATGATTGAAAGACCAAAAAGGGTAAAGATTTTTTTAAAATGGGTATAAATATTAAAGTTAAATGAATAAGTATTTTTACAACAAACAAATTGTTAATTTTTGGCTAGTTTTAAAATATAATCAGTAATTAATAATCTTATTCTTTTATTTATTAGGACTTCTTATTATTCTTTTTCTTCTTCTTCTTCTTCTTCTTCTTCTAATAATAATAATAATAATAATAATAATAATAATAAAAATTATTATTATTATTATTATTATTATTATTATTATTATTATTATTTGTGCATGTTATGTTTCCTGCTTTGTATCCTGTAGAGCCGGGTCCAAACTATGGTCCATCGGCCCTACAGAAGAATTATCATTTAATTGATAGCACTTTTCTTAGTATATGAGATGTTCCTAGTAGGGCGATCTTCTGGGCAACTTGTATGTTGATATTTCTTGGGACAACGTTAATCTCGATCTCTAGGTCCTTGTATTTGGACAATTTCGAAATAATTTTTATGGAGCTGTTTCTCTCAAATGGTACTGTTATGTCAATAAGCATACACTTTTTGAATTTCTTGTCTTTTATGATAATATAAGGTCTGTTGCCTTTTATTTTCCTGTCAGTTTGAATTGGCATGTCCCAGAGGATAGTTACATCGTTATTTTGGGTAACTGTGTCTGGTTATGTCCTCTCAGTAGTTTATTATTATTATTATTATTATTATTATTATTTTTCTGTTGTATGCTCATTTCTTTCCGGATCCCAACCAGTAACCTAAAGATCAGAAATGACCTCATGACGTTTTCCATTGGGCAATTTTGGGGAAAAAAAATACATAGATAAAACCCTTCGTAAGGTGTGAACTGTACTTATGAGTACAGATTTTTTGTATTTCTTTAAGGTATGGCCTACACTGAGTCTATCGGAACCTTTTTCCAATCAATACCAGAGCCCTAACTACATCTAGAATTATTGATGTCATCATGTGCCACATTATTATTATTATTATTATTGTTATTGATGTTGTTGTTGTTTTGCCTTTGCTTTTTGTAGTACAGGTTACCGCTAAGTTTCAAATAGAGGTTCAACGGACAACTATTTTTTTTTTGTCTCAGAAGATGCATACAGATGAGGTGTTATGCAATCAGAGAAAATAAAATGTAATTGTGCTCAATTCATGGAGAGAAATATCCGCATGACTTGAGAATCACGCATGAGTATGACTCATAGATTTTAGGGCTTTAGAGAAATTTGATCCACGTATTTATTTGTATTTTTTTTTTTTTGCTTTTTTTTTGCATAATTCCCCAAAGCCCCAATAAGAAAAGGTAATGTTCTTTTATTAAGATACGACATTCTACTTGTCTTTACTTAGTTTCTCAAACAGTTCTAAAGAGGCGCTTTTGTCGTCTGGGATTGAAATACCGATCAGAAGACAAGTGTTTTTAACATAATTTTTCACAATTATGTCTAAACAATTTGTCTGGATTTCTCAATCAGTCTGAACGCTGAAATTACAGACACTGATAACCTTTTCATTGCGACATATAATTCACTCACCAATTCACTTTGCGAGGCTTTATTATTATTATTATTATTATTATTATTATTATTATTATTATTATTATTTCCTTTGATTTCTGGCGTTTACACATTTCTTTCCGGGTCACGCCCAGAGACCATGACACATTCCACTGACAAAAAAAAAATAAAAAAAATAAAAAAATAAATAAATAGATAAAGCCCTTCGTATAGTGTGGGCTGTACTTGTGAGAACAATTTTTTGTATCTCTTTGAGGTATGGACTTCCAGGAATCCCTTCAATGTGTCTAATGGAGTCTTTTCCAACCAATCCTAGGGCTCCAACTACAACAGGGATTGTTGATGTTCCCATATGCCACATTTTTGAGATTTCTATTTCAATGTCCTTGTATTTTGACAGCTTTTTGAATATCTTCAAAGATACATTGTAGTCTGCAGGGACTGCCATATCAAAAACGAGGCACTTTATTTGTTTGCAGTCTCTAATAACAAAGTATGGGCGGTTGGTTTTAATTGTTCTGTCAGTGTGTATTGTGTAGTCCCATAGAAATGTAACAGGTCCTATCTCCGTAACCGGTTCTGGGTGGTTATTATTATTATTATTATTATTATTATTATTATTATTATTTCTTTTGATTTCTGTTTTGTATTCATTTCCTTCCGGGTCCCAACCAGTGACCTAAGATCAGAAAAAGCATCATGACATTTTCTCCTGAACATTTTGTATATGTAAAACTAAAACATACACAATTTATAAAGCCCTTCAAAGTGGGTTAGCTGTGCATTTAAGAACAATGTTTTATATCTGCTTAAGATATCAACTTTGTTTATTATTACTTTCTATTAAGTTATTATTGTCTAAGTTATTACTATTTAATCTTTATTCAACTGAATTCATACTTAACATTGATGTAAATGAAAAACTCCCGTTGAAAGTTTTAAATGAAAAACATATTTTGTAAGTCAAGAACAAATTCACATAACTTTTTCATTTACTTTTAAATCTAATCATACAAATTTGTACGTTCTCTGTTTATTCATATTTAACTAGCAGATTACCCATAAAAGTGAGAGAATTATTTACATAAGTGACGGTAGTTTTTGTCCAGGATCAAGGTAGCTATGCACTTTGTCTAGGATCCATATATCACAACAAATAAACATGTCGTTTTTTCATCTTTAACATACATGATAATGGCTGATACCTCGCCGTCGATTATTACCATCATGAGATATCATTGTAAAACTTAGTTGATTTAAACGAATATTGCTCTTTGAACCATACAAAATTTAAACCTCTGGCACAAAATTGGGAGACCTGAGTCATTCGTACATACATACATACATGCATACATACATACATGCATACATACATACATACATATATGCATGCATACATACATACATACATACATGATAGATGAGCGACACGTTCATCGAGTAGGACCATCGCTGACGAGTTTAATCAAAACCCTTTGATTATGACTTATGTCACTGGTTGGGACCCGGAAGGAAATGAATACAAAACAGAAATCAAAAGAAATAATAATAATAATAATAATAATAATAATAATAATAATAATAATCACCCAGAACCGGTTACGGAGATAGGACCTGTTACATTTCTATGGGACTACACAATACACACTGACAGAACAATTAAAGCCAACCGCCCATACTTTGTTATTAGATACCGCAAACAAATAAAGTGCCTCCTTTTTGATATAAGTCAAAAGTAGTTAGATACTAAAGAATTTTATATTCAAATATTTACTGGAAACAAAGAAATGGTCCAAAATTGCAAAAAGAAATAAAACACCCTTAACGAAGGACTTTCTATAGCCTTTAACCAAACTTGTATAAACATACATACATACATACATATAGGTACACATTCACACACACACACGCACATCTATCTATCTATCTATCTATCTATCTATCTATCTCTATATATATATATACAGTGTAACCCGGTTATAAGAGAGTTGTCGGGACCGGAGAAGAAGACTCTTATATCCGGGTTTCTCTTATATCCGGGTTTGGTCTAATTTATATACATTAACACAGGCTCTAATTTGGGACCAGAGAAAATCTCTCTTATATCCGGGTTTCTCTTATATCAGGGTCTCTTATATCCGGGTTACACTGTATATATATATAATCAATAATATATATATATATATATATATATATATATATATATATATATATAATCAATAAAATTACTCGTTCCCTATTCTTAGTTTAGCGGAATTACATACAGTCTTCAGAACAATAGATTGTAAAATTTTATTAATATATAATTTTAGAACCAAGTCTCCTGAAGAGTATATATAATTCTCGAAATTCAGTGTTGACAACATAAATTAACATTTTATTATTATTATTATTATTTCCTTTGATTTCATTTGTATATTCATTTCCTTCTGGATCACAGAAGGTCAGAAGTGGCATCATGCACTGAACACTTCTTACACAGATAAAACCCTTCGTAAGGTGTGAGCTGTATTTGTGAGTACAATTCTTTCTTACAGTGTATGGATTACCAGAAATCCTTTCAATGAGTATATCAAGACCTTTTCCTATCAAACTTAGAGCCCCAAGCAAAACTGGAATTATTGATGTTTACATGTACCATATTTTTTCCGTTTTCCACTTCAAGATCTTTGTATTTTGAAAGTTTTTTGTAGATATTCAAAGATACATAACAATCTGCAGGAACTGTTGTGTCAATAAGAAAGATCATTCTGTTT